GGGGGGGGGGGGGGGGGAACCTACAAATGTATGATGGACCAGCATCCCCCCAGGGAGGAGCAGCAAAATACTCCTACACTAGTCACTTCATGCTACAGAAGACGCAGTTTAGCGCTGGTACTGATCGGCCTGATGATTGGTGGGAGACGCAGTAGGCTAATGGTTAGCGTGTTGGACTCCGGATCGAGCGGTTCAGGTTCGAGCCCTGGCCCACTGTGTTGTGTTCTTGGGCAAGATACTTTACTCTCACAGTGCTTCTCTCCATACGTATAAATGGGTACCAGCGACAAAATGCTGGAGGGGTAACCTGTGATGGACTAGCATCTTATCCAGGGGCAGTAGCAATACTCCTAGTTGGCGCTTGTGCTAAGGAAACCGGGATGAGCTTGGGCAGAGTGGTCCGAGTGCGGCTTTTACTGATGAGCCACTCTGATCCTTAGCATCAGGTAAATTGGCTAGTAGTAAAACTTTATTTAAACACGGTGTCAATTCACAATACATGCTCTTCCATTGAGCCGTGTATTAAATTAATTACAATAATAAATGATTACTGGCTGTGAATATTCTTTTTCCTGGCTAGTTGTACCTCAACTGACCAGCTAGTCAGTCATCGTTAAAAATGTCTTGTGTAACATCACCTAAGTTCTACTCTCATAGATTCGAGCTTCACGTATTGCTACACCTACATGTATAGATACAGTTGGTATGCACTGCTGATCAGAAATGAAAGCAACTTTACCTCACATCACAAACATCTGGAGAGATTGGTACGTCAAATCGAACTTCTCATTCTATAAGGACCGGAACCAACACCAACACACAGGAAATGGCTACAGATCAGAGGCAAATACAATTTTAGCTTACTAACTGTCCACTCCGTAAAAACTAAAATCTTAAATTAAGATATTCAGCATCTTACATAAGATAGACACCATCTTAAACTCAGACTAAGATCATCTTATTTTAAGATAATAACCCCTTAAGTAAGGCAACGACATCTTAACTTAAGACGAGCACCCTCTTAGTTCTAGTAAGATGTAAATCCGTCTTAATTTAAGATTTGAAATGTGTCTTAAAATAAGACGTATTGATTTTATAGTAAGACGCTTCCCTCTTATATAAGAGAAAGACTTCTTACTTTAAGATTGGGGAGTCTTAATTTTCTTATTTAAGATGAGGAGCATCTTAAATTGAGATGGTTTCTCATCTTAAATAAATTTTAAGATGATTTTGAAATTGATAAGATACTTCCATCTTAACTAAGTTGCACTGCATCTTAAATTAAGATAATTTAACTGTCAATCACATACCTAGTTTGTGATTGGTTACTTTCGATCCAAAATTACGTTGCGTTGCGTTGCGTTCTTCATTTTCAGTTCAAGAGTGAATAGGCTGTTTATTCGCGCTTCTCCGAGTGTTTTAAACTCAAGTCTGACTAGAATATCATTCTGTTTGCAATTGTTTGTGTGGCATCCGTTATAAAGATGTAACCTTCAAAGTTGACAGGAGTTTGGGCTGCAAGAAAACGTCTGGAGTTGCAACTGAGATCATTTATAGTTTCAAACCTGAGACCGCATGAAACTAACGAACATTCAACCGGCAGATTAAACACAACGCAAGCAGTGGATAAAACAGCTAAGACGTAAATATTTTCATTTATCTTTGTCTCTGTGTATTTTTTTCTTTGGATTTATTAGTGTAATAAAGTGTTTTTCCTGATATTTGTAGTGTTTGCGTTACTTTGTACAAGTACAAGTCGGTACATTAGTGTCGTTATTGCATTGACGCCATTTTGATGACCGTTATTTTTCAAATAACCCGTCAAACCAACTAAGATGTTTAACATCTTAAATTAAGTTTTCAAACGTCTTAAATTGGAAGTTCTGAGGTAAGATACTTTTTCATCTTAATTTAAGAGTTAAAACATCTTAATTAAGACGAAAATGTATCTTAATGTAAGATGTAGGAAACTTACATTAAGATAAAAGAGTCGTCTTACCTCAGAACCAGAAAAAACGTCTTAATTTAAGATTTTAGTTTTTACGGAGCAGAGTCTTTCAAAAATAGAGGACAAACCAACATTTTTTTCAAATGTTTCATTTTTCGCAATGCCTTTAGGAAATTAAACAAAACCTATTTATGTTTCTCGACAAGCAAACATAAGCATTCTAAAGAGAGTGAAGGTAATTAAGCTTATTTCTTTCTTCCTCAACTCAAGATTGTATCTGTTTTCAATTCATCTTTTTATTTACGGACTGTACATGTAGTTCTACTAGTCGAAGCTCCCGTAAGCGGACATCCTCGGGGAGCAGAAAAAGGTGTGCCCGCAAGATGGAGCTGCCGCCTAACAGGAATGTGTAACTACAGAGTGTTGCATGAGCTAGAGTTCAAACGGGGTTTGTCAAGGCGGCCATACGTAGAACTGTCCGCTTTTAATAAATACGAGAGAGTGTCCGCTCAGAGAGCTAGCGTTCGACTGTGCTTGAACAAAAGCTGCTTTGTCGAACGAAACGCAATGCTAAAAAGCTTGAACAAACTTACTACACACCCGAAGTTTCCATTATGCGTAATAAAGATCTCTACGGGCCTTTAGATTCCGTTTCTTCAGGAAAAACAGCAAATACTTGAATAGAATATGATGAAAGAACGTCCATCGACAGATTTTGAACCCCCCCGATTTTTTTTCAATTTTCTATCGTCCAGATCTTCCGGGCAAGATTTAAAATGATCACGTGACGCACGAGCGTCTGTGTGATATTGCGTCAGTTTCACTGGGAAAAACGGATTTCTCGTGTTTTTTTGTTGTTATTATATTTCTGGAAGAAAAATAAGAGAATTGAAAAAAATTATTTGAAACCACGACGGGGTATTAGCTCAAACAACCATTGATGCATGCGTTTCCGCAAATAAAAAGAAACCCATTCTTGGGGGGAAGGGATGTCCCAAATTAATCCAAAAAATTGGGTGTTCTGCGGGAGCGCAAGCAAATCATTAGTCCACATTCTGCTGCTCAAAATGGTCTAAATATTGAGACCTTTTTAAAAGAATATTCACATTTTACCATAAAAAAAACTGATGCAAGTAAAAGTTTCAAAAAAGTTTACGGACGATCACATTAACGTGCGAGGAACGAAAGCCCGGCTGCAACGAAATAATCCAATCAGAGAGGAGTATATAGCCCACGTGCAGTTAGCTAATTAAAAACAGCGCGGAAGTGTGGGACAAAATCGCAAGTTGTAAAGTAGCGGCGATTTGTCGCACTGAATCGCCCCCGCTAGTTTCATCGCAAGCTCGAGCGCGATTGCGCGAGAAAAATCGCCATCAAAAAATCGCCCTGTGTGTAACGCGCCTTGAAGATCGCGCAATCTACAACGGGAAACTTGGCAAATTCACGTGCGGTTCACCATTCTCCATAAAACGCAGATATGAGGACATTTCACGTTGTTGTTTTTGCCAGAGACGGCTAAGAAAAATGTAACTTAGATTAAAACGAACGTGCCCAGAAAAAAAAACTATTGCACTGCTCATTTAAACCTTTTGTTTAGCGACGTTCTCGTTGCCGCTGTGGTTTGCGTAGGGTACCTTAATTAAATCACTCGCCTCGAGGGATGGAAGGAATTGGTCGACTAGTAGAAAATCCATGGCTCATGCGCTCAACCTCGTCCCCCAGGGGCATCTCCGCTTTCAAGAGGGCGAGTGGGCGGCGAGAGAACAGCAGGTCACGATGTCTCAAAAATATTGCGAGAGTTTGATTGTTTCAAAAATGGCGGCGGGCTCGGCGATTTGGGCTAATTTTGCTGGTCACGTGACCTAGCTGTTCGCCATTTGAAACGCCGAGGAAGACTTTGGGGAACGAGGCTTGATTTCCAGGCTTACGTTCCATAGACTCCATTTATGCCGGAAACCAACAAAGGAGATCACACATTAAGGAAGCAAAAATTATTTAATCAGCAAGAACTATATTACAACACTGTTTGCATTGGTAAAAAACTGTATAATCGTAGAAAATCCTATATAAATGATATCATGTTATTCAGATTATTCAAAGTATCTCTTTCATCAAAAATTCTATGTATCGCGTATCAGAAACTAATCAGTTTAATTAATTCTTATTATTAAATTTCTTATCATCATAGCTTTTTCATATTTCGCCTTTAATTCCTAAACTATGAACCGTAAGGTATGTGTTTGGAAAGCGAATAGTTTTCTAATATAACTTCCCTTTGGACCACTTGTGCAGTAATAACTATTCCACCAGTTTTCACCCTCGGTTCGACAATAGCGAAACAACGCGCGAAAACTGGATCCCTACCTGTCGATCCCAGAGTGTTTTCCTTATGGGAGGGGTCGCCAAAGTGGAGGTTTGACTATATGGCTAACGCAGCCTTCAATTAGTTTTTTTTTGAAAGATTCGCAAAAATAATAAAGGGAATGAATTTTTGGCTAAAATAAAGGACATTTATGCACACTCTATCAAGTTACGCTAATTAGATAGCGAGTCTCGCGGGAGGTTTGCGTGACAACTATGACGTGACAAAGCTAGCGGTTTTGACGACTGCGGTACGTTTTCCACCATGAGTAATCAAGAGAGTAATGATCTAAGAGAAGTATTCCCACACACATCCTTCTTCCAATGATAATGTTTTTGAAATCATATTTTTAATTTTCAGTCCCATAGCTGTAGGCAATTTTAAGAACGCTGGCAGTGAATTGATCAGTTCGAGTACAATCTCGTTCCCGAGATCAGTCTGTTTAACCCTTATCCAGCGGCTGTGACGGGCAAACAAGGACCTCTGGGGATGGAGTGATCCCGACCTGACCTGGCGGCAGTAAGACCGAAAGTCCAAGAATACTTTGGCGTCCGTGTTAGTTTGAAAACATAGGGGTCGAACACATGCGGCAGGTGAAGATACCGTGGAAGGTCCAAGAAATCCTGTCAATGGCGGATCGCTTCTCCCCCAGAGTGTCCCTGTTTAGGCCGCTCCAACCGCTGGACAAAGGTAACGAGGACTCTGTGAACGAGCAGCGTGATATCAGAGCCTCGATCAGAAGGAAATAAAAAATAACGTTTCACAGCATGGCGCACCGGGAATCCCTTCTCTTGGTAAAATCATCCCCTCTTGAATGATAGTATATATACTTTGACGTTCTAAAACGAATAAAAATACTTTTAATATCATGCTTCTTTTATCTTTGGACTATAGAATCAAAATTTC